CGTGCTGCCGACATCGTTGCTCCTGTTGCTGATGCTCCTACTCCTGATCTTCATTTTGAGCCTGACGAGGTATCAGTGGTGTCGACAGCGACGGTGCCGGTGTCAACTGACGGGGCCGCGGTGGCGACGCTAGTTGACGATCTCCCCTTTGTGAAGGCGAAGGGAGAGCGTCTGAGGGCTGGACAGCACATAATACACGTGGGTATACAGTAAAAAAAACTACACAATAGTTTTGTATAAACAACTGATATGGTAATATTGTAATATTAGAACTTAATAAGATGGTGCGAGCATACGTTGACTTTGCTATATTATGCCTAAAGTTTATCCCCCTCCCCACGTTTCATAATGTTACAGAAAAGTAAGGTAAGTCACCTTTAGCTGCTTCATATGATCGTGAGCCGGGGATATTTTTTCGCTCGAGAAGTCTCTCTAATATTCCGGCGACTGCGGTAAAACTGGTGAGTAGGAAACTTTTAATAGAAAAAATATACGTTTAAGAAAAATTTCTCGAAACAACGGGGTAAAAGTAAACAATAAAATATTATTACCTTCATGTAATTGTCGCCCTCCTCTTCTCCGACTTCCTGCGTCACGTCCTGTGTCTCCGAAAATTCGTCAACCATATCATCGATTTCCTCGTCGCAGGTATCATTGGTAACATCTTCGTTCGCCTCATCGATGATATCACCGGCGTCTTCGTCGTCCTCATAGTCGTAAATGTCAGTTTCTTCTTCTTCTTCTTCTTCTTCTTCTTCTTCTTCCTCCTCTTCTCCCTCTTCTTCATTTTCGCGTGCTAGAAAGTAATTTTTACTGTTATTTTTCTTTTTTTTCCAGAACTAACTCTATGTTTCGTTAACCGATTTTTTGAACTTACGCGACATTGAAATAATGGCACTTGACGAGTTCCTTGATCGCTGCGAATCTCCAATATCCTCGTCATCAACATCATCATCATCATCATCTAAAATAGAAATGTTTTATTTTTCTTCTTATTGCAGTAATATTATATGAACTATATTTTACAGTAGAATATTTTTTAAATCATCTTACCTATTTCGATGAGAGTGATGCTTTGTCCATTGCGTGGAGGCGGCACATTATTCGACGGTTCGATTCACGCTCTTCCTAGAAAAAATTAAAATATTTTTAATAAAGGAAATTTCCAGCATTTGATCAATATTTTTATTTTTCCAACTTACGCACAGGAACAACCTCGTCTTCATCCTCCGCGTGACGTTATCGTCGCCTCAGACTCAGACGCCCACGTTGCACGAATTGCACGGGATTAACGTGCGCCACTTGACGATTTGACGCTAAAAATAAATATTATTATTTAATTAATAATAATAATAATAAATCTTTTTTTTAATGTATAATTTTGTTTCAGCTCAGCTTACCTACTCCTACTCCTGTGTTACCGTTGATCCTATAACGAAACTCATCAATATGACCACCAGCGTCATCCTCCTCATGATTGAAACACTCACGCACTTCTATATGTCGCGAGATTGTTAGCGTCATCACACAATCACAGTGCCCCAGTTTATGCATAACGCATAATAACGTACTGGAGCACTCTCGCGTAAAGTGCTCGAAAACTTTGTAATTGTTTTCATTTTCATCTGATAATTTCAGTATATAGTCTCTTGCAATTAATTTTTGATTAAGATTGCAAGCGACTATAAAAAATTTAGATAATAAATCACGAAGAGCCATTTTTTTCGCACTCGCAATAAGATTTATAGAAAGCACGCCCTCAGAAAATAGTTAGACACAACGAGAAGTCGAAGCCAAACTAGAGTTAAATTTTCAATCTACGCACTATTTATTCACTCGAAAATATGCTAAAAAGGGCGTTTCCTTATTTCCTTCTCCTAAGTTTGTGTAGCTAATCACTAAGGTTCTCCATACTTTTTTTGTAAATATTCTTACTTAGACAGTCGACTATTTCTTATTTGTTAAAAGCTTTTCTAAGTTAAATCATCTTTTTTTTTGCTTACCGTGTAATCGACAAAAAATTTACTCTTCTGTCAAACCATATTTCATTTTTCAATAATTTTTGAAACGCAGAACGGACAGAATATCATAAAACAAATTTGTACGCTTCTGTTCGTTCTTGCCTGCCTGTCATTTCCAGACTTTTTTTTGAAAGGCTATCCCTTTTTTTCTTACAGAATTTAAAAGAATTTTTTTTGTTAATTTGGACAGGATCATTTCTTCAATATTATGTATAACTCAACAGTCGAAATGTCGTAAAACGAACTTGTACGCCCTTGTTCCCTCTTGTTTACCTCTCCCCTGTAAGTCTTATGACTAATGTCATAAGACTATCACATTTTGAAGGCTATCACAATTTTTTTACAGAATAATTTAAAAGAATTTTTTTATTAATTTGGGCAGAATTCTTTCTTCAATAATTTTTATAACTCGGCAGTCGAAGTATTGTAAGACGAACATGTCTGTTCTTGTTTTACCTCTCCCTTTCAGACTATTTCAAATTTTAACGGAAAAAATATAGAAAAAATCTGGGCTTTTTGCTTTTTCTTCTGCGCGATCAGAATAATTTTTGTTAAGTAACATCGGAGAGAGGAAGATGATGTCGTCGGTAGCGCCACGAGTCCGCTTCATTCGAGTCTCGTCGTTCTTTGCTCCAACTTCGTGAGCAAGCAAGCAAGTACTGTACTTCTTAGTTTTGGCCCATCCATCTTGGATTAATCGTGTCGTTTGGTGCTACAGCGAAATAAGAATAATGGACAGCTTAAAAGTCGCCAATAATTCGAACGAGCAAATGTATTCCAACCCGAATTCTTTCAAGCCGCGTAACAACGACGTGGGAAGAAACACACGATTTCATATGCTGTTTACGACAACGTATGGTCTCAACAACTTTCATACGAAGGCGATTCATGTGGGACTGCAAAGAACGAACGAGGGAATCTACAAGCCTCTTGTAAAATTGAGCGGAAACAATGCTGACGGTATTTATTTCGACGCCAACAGTTGGAAACAGTTCCAAGACAACATGGGATACATGAACGAATATTTAACTAGTGGTAACCGAACGAAAACAAATTCTGTTATCATAAAAAATATCTCTATCAGTTTTAACACATCTTACCGTGCGAAATCAATATTATTGGCGTATAAAGACGAAGAAGAGGAACTTCGTTCTATGGAAAATATCAGCGGGAATCTCCGAAAAGAAGAGGTCGCGTCCGATTCAACGTCGCCGTCGAAGAAACGCAGAACCTTCGCGGTGGCTATTGTAATGCAGAAGACTACCTTTCTCGGTCTGCAAAACGTTGTGAAATGTGTCGACGTGCATTTAAAACAATTAGAATCTTTAACCGATAATGTTAACAAGTGTGCGCAGTATTTAATTCGAGAAATCGATCTGAAACTTCCTGTAAGTTATGTTAGTCAGGAAATTATAAAATTAACGCTACGGGGAAATTACGACGAAATTGAGCGCAACGTAC